TTCTTCCTCTTGAAGCTTCCCCCTCACAAGTATGTAGTGCCCTTCTTTATCTCTTTTGATTGTTCTTGGTTTGAAGTTCACGTTGTCTGCAAACAGAATAGCTGCACACGCTTTTTTCTGGGTTCCTGTTGCATGGAATGTTGTTTTCAATCCTTTAATTTTCAGTCTATGAATTTCCTTTAGAGTTAAATGTGTTTCTTGTATACAGCATATAGTTGGATTTTGTTTCTTGATCCGCTCTGCTAGTCTGCTTCTTTTGGTTGGTGCATTAAGACCACTTACATTGATGGTTGTAACTGATATGTACTAGCTTATCTTTGTCATGTTATTTTCCTGCTGTTAGATCCTCCTTTTTCCCTCTGTTTAATTGCTTGCTCTGCTTGGTGGGTTTTTCTGTTGTTGTTCTTGAAGTTGCAGTCTGTTTTATCTCTTTCCAGTATATCTTTTAGTACTCTTTGTAGGATTGGTTTGGCACTCATGAATTTCTTCAGTTGTTCTTTATCATGAAAATATTTTATTCCTCCATTAAATTTGAAAGATAGCTTTGCAGGGTACATAAATCTGGGTTGGAAGTTGTTTTCTTTCAGTATCTGAAATACTTCACTCCAAGCTCTTCTTGACTTGATGGTTTGCATTGAGAAATCTGCCGTGATTCTGATGGGCTTATCCTTTTTAGATGGTCTTTTTCTTTTCTCTAACATCTTTTAATATTCTGACTTTCTTTGAGTTCCTGGGATCTTGATCACTATATGTCTGGGTATAGATTTGTTTTGGTTATGATTAACTGGAGTTCTATATGCTTTGCTTATCTGTGTGTCCAATTCCTTTTCCATGCCTAGGAAATTTTCTGCTATTATTTCTGCAAATAGTATTTTTATGTCATTTCTGTTGACATCTGCTGTCTCCTACCTATTAATCTGACATTGTTTTTCTTTGCTTCATGTTGCAGTTGTTGAATTGTTATTTCCTTGTTCCTTGATGTTTTTAAGAGACCCCTCATTTCACGTTTGTTAGTGGCAATGCTGTCTTCAAAGTCTGAAAATCTATCTTCACCTTTTTTCAGGCAGTTTTGCCAGCTTTCAATGGAATTTTTAATTTCCTGGATATCTGTTTGAATCTGTTTCATACATTCTAGTTCTTTTCTATATTGTTCACTCAAAATTTCCATGAGTTGTCTACGTTCTTCTCTTTTCTTATCAATGTCATCTTTGGATATGCTGAACAATTATTTTATTACTGTTGTCATTTCTTTTTTCACCTGAGATATTATTTCTGATCTTATGTCTTGTATGGTCTGATGGAGTTGTTTCTTTACTTCAGTTGTTATCATTTCAGAAATGTCAGGTGTATGACTTTCAGGCTCTTCTGTGTTTATGTCTCCTGGACTTGTTCTGGGTGGTGTGGAGGTCTGGGGTTGCATTTTGCTCCTTCATTTTGTCATTTTTGAAGATCCAGAGGTTCCCTGGAGAGCAGCCTCACTCTCCCAATTGTATGTGAGTGGCAGGGTGAGTGTCTGAAGATCTCCAGTGCTCAATACAGTTCCTGTGCTGGTGAGTGGTGGCCAAGTGGGGCCCCAGATGCTCCTGATACTTTCTTGCATTCAGTTGACTCCTAGGCATGTGTGGGAGGGGTGGGGGTAGCTCACTGGAGTTCCTGAAGCTGTCTGGGGTTTGGCCTGGCTTCCACAAGAGTAGCAGGGGTGCAGGTCATGGTTACTGAGCCTTCAGATATTACCCAAGACAGAGCCTGTTTCCTACACTGGCAAGGGAGGGATGAGGGTGGACTCCCCAAGGCCACTGACTCTGTCCAGGTTTCCGCTGGGCTCCCAGGGCAGGTGCTGGTTATTCTTGGAGTGACCACTGAGGCCCCAGAAGTTGTCCAGGGCTCCACGCACCTCACACACTAGTGGGGGAGGAATGGGAGCAGCTCACTGAGGTTCCTAAAGATGTCCGGGGTTCAACCCAGCACCCACAGACATGATAGGGGTGCAGTAAGTGGCCACTGAGGCCCCAGAGAGTGCCCAGGGCTCTGCCTGCCTCTCATGCTGGTCAGCAAGTCACAGTGGCCACCAGTGGAGTTCCTGAAGATGTCTGGGGTTCAGAACAGCACCCACAGACACACTATGGGTGAGGCAAATAGCCACTGAGGCCCCAGAGGGTGCCCAGAGCTCCACCTGCCTTGCACACTGGTCAGTGAGGTGCAGCAGTGGCTCACTGGGGTTCCTGAAAATGTCTGGGGCTCAGCCCAGCACCCATAGACACACTATGGGTGTGGTGAGTAGCCACTGAGGCCCCAGAAGCTGCCGGGGGCTCTGCCTGCCTCCCACACTGATCAGGGAGTCACAGCAGCAGTTCACTGGGGTTCCTGAAGATGTCCGTGGTTCAGCCCAGTTCTCACAGACACACTATGGGTGTGGCAAGTAGCCACTGAGGCCCCAGAATGAGCCTGGAATTCCTCTTGCCTCACACACTGGTCAGGGAGTCACAGTGGCAGCTCACTGGGGTTCCTCTAAAATCCATCTGTTTAAATACATGGGAAATATATTTTTTAAAGGGGCAACACTTTTCAGAAAAATTCCCCAACAATGCAAAGTATCCCTCTCAAGATGTCATGGACCAAACCTAAGCAACGCAAAGTTCCTTAGATACTACGAAGGCAAATTCCTATTCATCTTGCAGGAATTCCCACTACAGCATTTACAGCAAGCAGCTTTCCAAAGCCTCCTTGAAAACTTTCAGTGACTAGGATAAGAGGTTTGCTACCAATGGCCCTGCCTTTTCCATTGCTAGTAAGCCCTGGTTATGGACAACATTCTTCTTGTTGATAAAAATCTATATTCTTGAAATCTTGAATTCTGAAGTTTTCAACCTATATTCTTGAAATTTTTATATTCTTAAAATTTCAACCCACTGGTTATAGTTCTAGCATCCATAAACAAGTCACATTCTGATTTTTCTGTTTCCTGGCTGTAATTAAGAACAGCATAAGTCACAAACTTTGTGATTTGCAGGAAGTCTGGGGAGATGAGGAAGGTGTAACAGAGCAATGGAAGGCTTTCGGGTCACAGTGGTATTTTGTCAGATATAATAATCCAAGACTACAAAAAAGAGTTTGTATGTGCAACTATTTTTTGTGTACATATGTATACCTGTATATATACATGTGTAAAGTGCATGTAGTGTGTTTAATATACATATACATATGTACATATACATATGTGTATATGCATGTGCTTATGTACATGTATGTTGTCAAGTCAATAACAGAAAAATCTTCCAACTATGTTCAATAAGAAATGCAAACATAGACTGTTAGGATACTGTTTTTAGGGAAAATTTAAAATTCACAGGACTAAGCAATAAAGGAGTTGTTACCAAGCTGGACAATGAGAAGGGAATTCAACAAGCTTATGCCTGTGCTATGGTAAAAGTACAATTATTTCAGAATATATAAATCATTATGTTAAGATTATTATCTAGACATTCACTACCTAGTGATGAAAAAGTTCCCAAACAGTAAATTAACCAATAGATCACCAGGTCCCCTTCTTCAAATTTCAGACAAGGTTCATAGCATGTGCTGCACTTTGCTGGGTTTGGTTCAGGGTTCACCCTGTCAGTGCCTCTTCATACTCTGCCTGTCTCTAAGCTTCAGGAAATTGAGAAAGAGCATCTCCTCACAAGCAGTCTTGAGGTGAACACAGCCCACTGGCGGGGCACATATTTCAAACAAAAGCTAAAATACATTCATTAAATTTCAAGACATGAGGAAAAAATACAAAAAAAATTTTTTGTCCCACAAACACAAAATATAGAGATGTGTTAGTTTGGGTAAACTTTACCAGGATATCCAGTTAACAAACTGCAATCTAGGGTTAATACTAATAAAAATGGTAATAAATTATATTTATCAAAAAAATAAAACTATACTCAGATCTAGTAAAGTAAAATGGTAAACCTAAAGAGTTTTGATTATCATAAAATTAGAAATAATTAGGTAATGTAAATAATTATCTTTTTTCTAGGTAACATATAAAGCAATTCCAAATTGTATAGCCTGATAAAATACAGAATTTCTTCATATGGAGCCATGGGCCAAATCTGGTATGCCATCTGTTTATGTATTTTTTTTTTTAAAGTGTAGTTGGAACATGGTCGTGCTTATTTGTTGTCTGTGGCAGTCTTTATACTATGTCATCAGAGCTGAGTAGTTACAAAAAAGACCATTAGGGCCCACAAAGCCTAAAACATTTACTAACGATAAGGTATCCCTTAGGGATGTCCAACCTGTATTTGTTCCCTTACAAAAGAAGTTTGCAGACCCCTGCTCTCCATGATAACTGATCTTAAACATGGACGCCATGTTGATAAATTATGACAGCTTATGAGGCAGAAGGAACTTTACTTGCTTCTAAGATATAGTAGGTCCTTTGTTACAAATTAACAACAAAAGCTGCAAAATTGCTCCCAATGTTATAAAGGGTACTTTACAGTTTGAATAAATGAAACAATAGTTCTTCCTACTTGTTTTGCTGCTTTTTCCTCCTTTTCATCTGAAGTGTTATTGACAGCAGGGACTTTTCTGTGTTGTTGGTAATGTTCCAACTTTTCTTGACTGGACTGATTATTCTCCTCTTTCTTGTTTTCCTCATCACTTTCTGGGTTATTTTTCCATTCTTTCATCATCTCTAATACATTTGTTGGTCTCACTGAAGAAAGTGTATTGCCCTGTTAATAAATAAATTTCACTGTTATAAATGGCTTAGATAATTGAAAAGATTCTTACTCTTTTAGTAATGTATTTTTGAAAATTCAATGATAGCCATATGGAAAAAGTAGAGTGCCGAATCAGTACAAAACTGATGCCCACTGGAGCATACTCCCTGTGCTGACACGGGTCACACCTCTTGCATGACATCACTTACAACAAGGCAAAGTTTACAGGGAAAATACTCAGTCTTGAAAGAACTACACAGCACACTTTCATAAAGGATACTGCATTGAGTGATACCCTGTAAGTCGAAGATCCCTTATAGTATTTTTCTTAGAAACTGACAGGGAAGCTGGAAAAATAAAAAAAGTTGCCCAAAGACCAGTGGAATGTTAAGGGTAAGTCTTTACAACACCAAAATGTCTAGGTGGAAAAATTTAAATTCAGTTGATTAATTAACTACTATGTCTAAGAATGTCAGTATTTGACTTCAAAGCCCTTGTCTGGAATATTTAGATATCGTGGTCATCTGATTATACTTGAGCCAGTATATTGTTCTTATCCCAGATATGACTATATCAGACCAAATTTAACCATTTTATATTAACCTTCTTTTCCCAAATGTGCCATCCTATGTAATGTGCCAAGAAATACTGTATATGAATACAAGCCAAAATGGTTCCTGCGTTACTAAGTACGTCTTAAATATTTTTATTTCAATCTCAGCCTACTAGAGAAAATTTAGGCAAGAAGTTTTGACCATATCTAAATTAAAATGAAAAGTTAAAGTGTAGGCACAGCAAAAGGAGCAATTCTAAATTAATCATATATGTAGGTAGATCGGTGGTAAGCATAAATGATACAGAAATCAATGAGACAGTATGCAATTCACCATGTTCCCAATTCCTACTTTGATAGTTACAAAAATAAAGAGGTGGAGCCTACCTTAGCCTGGGTTCCTGAATAAGGATAAAGTGAAACAGAGCCCTCCCCTTCCTCACAACCAATTTATTATGGGAGGTACTAGGAACACTGAGATTTGGGGGTCATTTTTTACCACAATACACTGTAAAGTATCCTGGCATACACACCAAAGTAAATGTTTATGTTCTATAACTTACCTCTAAGAAGGCTTAGTAATGAGTTAAATATGCAATTATCATGCCCAACAAAATTATAACTACTACAGAACTCACATTCAATCAGTGCAATATAAAAGCCCATTTATTTAGATAGTCCTTGCTTTGTAAAGTCTTGATGTGCACAAATTTGAGTTTTCATGATTTAGTTAAATAGTATTAATCTCTCAATAGCAGAGCTTAAATCTCAGGCACCACGGTATATTAACTATCACTACATAAAGGTCAAAAATCAGTAGGTCCAACAGATATGTATGATCAGTGACCAATCATGTTAATTCTTTTAAAGGTTGTTGGTCATTGGACAGTGGGTATGTGTTGTTCACTTCACACAGAGATAACTAACCAGGTGTGCAGTTGTGTTGCTTCCTTGACTCCCAGGGAGTTGATCAACAAAGATGAAAGTGTAGCAAAGAAATAAAAATGATAATACTATGTGAATCAAAGGTGCCTAGACTATCAGAAGAAATAGCTGGTTGTGAGAATATTGACAATGCTACTATTGAAGAGTATAGACACGCAGCCAAAGGAGCTTAATATAGGAAAATTTGTCAATAGATGTGAAGAAAGCGATTGTTCAGAAAGGATGAAGGTGCTCCAGAGGAAGCAGTGCCTGCAAACACACTGTTTTGTGTTAAAAACACTTTCAGACATACTTCGTGACATTGCAAGTGAAAATACTGGAAGCTGACTTACACTTACAATGCAGCATGAAAATTTGCCAAGGTATAAAACAGACATTTCCTCTATATAGTAAATTATATGACAAGAAAAAACCAAGCACTATTTATACTAATCTTAATACTTTTTTACAAAAAAAGAAAATTTAAATCATAGTGTTTCTGATATTATAAATTATGGTGTACTATTTACTTTTGTCTTATTTTCCTATATAGTTACAACCAATAGTTTTTAACAGATTTTCCCACTGATTATTAAGATCATTTTGCTAGTTTCAGCCTGAATTATCATTTTTACCATCCTGCAATACCCTGAAAAGCAAGGGTCGCCGATGTTGTCTGGGATCTGCATCTCTAGTAATCTTTCAAATGCAGGATCGTATATACATATGCAGTGCCTCAGAGTTAGGTGTTTAATACCATATGTGGTTAAACTATAATGCCTTTGTACTCAAAGAAATTGCACTACTTCAATTTCAAAGAAATTGTGAGAAAGAGCAAATGATCTAGAATAGGAGAATGATCACCACAAAAGCACTCTATGATTTGGAAATTTTAACTCTTTGCCTCCTTTATTGACTTGTGATATCAAATCTGGATCTGGACTCTGGTATTGAGTCCCTGCTTTCCTTGTTGCCTAAAATCCTTTAATACACCACCAACTTCTTATTTGCTGGAAGAAGAATTGCACCAGATACTTGGACTAACCAAAAAATAAGTGGCCAATGGCCATGTGTCACGAGTTTTCTAGTTCAATAGAAATTATAAATTAACCAACCAACCAACCAACCAAGCAAACAAAAATAGGTAAAATTGTTTAGTAAGTTACCAGGGGTATATGGCACTTAACCATTAAAACACTATTCTTTCATCTCCCTGTGTTGGCTGCAGTAATAGTGTGGTGACCTGAGGATGTCACAAGTAGACACTCAGACTTTTAATTAATACATTTGAATTTATTTTACCAACAGATAATTGAGACAATTTTATTTTGAAAAATTAGAAAAACGACTCGTGGAGAAATATTGGTAAAATACTAAGATTTGGATTTCATTCCTTAGTAGACAGGCTCCACAAATGCAGACCCAGTCATACCTCTTCTAGTAAGAATCTGACTTTTAAGGAGATTTCCTACCAGTGTTGTGTAAAAATACATATTTAATAAGGATTTTTAATGAATGAATGTATGAGTTGGAGTGAGAAGGTATGAAACAAATAAGCAAAGTTAAAGGGAACATTCTAGATCTTTAGCTTACAGTCATTTTCTATTTTTGTAAAGAGCTAGAGTACCTCACTTTGTAATATTACCAGGAGCAAACTTTTCTATAAAAGGGGAACACTTTGTGAAAACATATAAAAGGATACTCAACTTCACAAAATAAAATCCAATGAGGTACCAATTTTCACATAACAGGTGGATATAAATTTAAGTTTGATAATACCATGTGCTCATAAGGGTATGGGGAAACAGTTTCTTTACTAACTGTTTATGAGAGAATGGATTAGCAATAACTTATCAAAATTCATAATGCATGTTCTCTCTGACCAGTAATTCCATTCTTCAGAATTTATTCTACACATAATGCTAACATAGTATGAAAGTGTATATGTACAAGAGCATTAATTAAGTATAGTAGAAAAAGTCTTAAACAATTTAAATGTTCCATATTCATAGAGGACTGTTTACAAAATAATAGTGTATCTATAGTTTGGGATATAATATTGCTTTTTAAAAAATAAGCCAATCTTTCCTGTATAAGGTGAAAAAGAATAGTTCACATAATGTGAACCTATTTGTGTAATATGTGTATATAAAACTGCATAGATGAAAAGATATGTAAGATATTTATTTATTATTGTTAGTGAGAAGGAATGCTGAAAAATATTTTCCCTATTTTGTTTACCATTTAAATCGTCTACCATGCATAATGTCAACTATTACCTTTGTCAGATTAATAATGCAAGTTACAGTAAGAAAAGGTATAATGTAAACTTCCGACAAAAGACTGAAAGCACTCAATGAAATCACCAGACATGTCCTGATGGGCTTCAGTGAGCCCAAAGCAGCAGCATATGAAGGTAGTAGCAACCATGAAAGCAAGCGGCTGTAGTGGGGCCACTTTTAAGTTTTTCCTAACAAAGTCATCCCAGTGATTTTATTCCAAGTGTGGCAACAGTGTGAGTAGATAAGCCTGGTGCTGACACTCCTATTCTTCGGGAGGAAAGAGCCTAAGAAATTATATTACCTTACTCCAGAAGTGCATTTCCAACTGCCTGCCAAAAAATGTCTTGTTAGAGATGTAGCTGAACTTTCAAACTCAATAAATTTCAAAGCAACATTCGTCAAACTGGAGTATGTGAACACCCGGTTGTACATGAAGATTTTCCAAGGGGATATGTGGGTAGAAATAGTTTGTGGGGAATCAATTTCAAAACCCTTAATTTCCTTCATCTACTTGAGCAAGGTTTTGCCGTAATACTTTCCATATTTTTTTAAAGTAAGCTTTTTCTACTTCACAATAAAATAAACAAACAAACAAAAACCATAGCTCTCACCCACCTTAAATCTTACTTAAATGCCTTTTAAAAAACTCTGGAGGACCAAGGACAATCACAATTCTTGTTTTGGTGTTCAGAAAACAAATGAACTTAGTGACTTGGTTAGAAAATCCTTTAGAAGTGAGATGCTTTATTTTTTTCCTTGCAACAGAAGAAAGAACTAATTAAATTTTCAGATGGTAAAGTTTTAAAATCACCTTTTATTCATTGTAGGAATTTAAATATCTTTCACTGAACCTCAGGTGCATAGGACCTGAATTGATATCCTTACCATCTCATATTTTTATCATTAATCTATGCAAAGATTTAATATGTATTTATTTGTAATTTAATAAACACCTATAAAATAACTGCACAAGAAAACTAGAAAACATGCAATAGTTGCACTTGTCTATCTGGTGCAATGATTTTCTTCCATTCTGTCTTCCTGCCTTCTATCACCTGAAGTGACTACTATCCAGGATCTTGCTAGTCTATTTCCCTTGCTTCCTTTTTATATTTTTATCACATTTATAATTATTCAAAAAGAAATATTTCCTTAAGTAATATTTCATAGTTTTGTAGATATTATTAGCATAATCATATTCACTGCTATCTAGTACTCTACCATTAGACTATTCTAAAATTTATTCATTCATA